AACACCCGTTCTCCAGTCCGCTGGTGTCTTTCCCGCAGTCATTGCAGTTTGACAGACACGTGTTAGCCAGTCGTAACGTCGAATCTTTTGTTATTATATATAAAATCTATTAATTTGATAAACGGAACGTAATATGCCACGGCCAGTGCCACTATATGAGTTGCAGAACTACCAGTTTTCTAAGGAAGATCAGCAAGATGGAGACAAAATAATTCATAATAATTCATCTGTCGTATTGATGGACAACATGGCAACAATTCCTCAAAACCCAGAATTAATAGTAAATTCAAAATAGGCGTTTTATAAAATAACGTATTACATAACCTGCTCTTGCTATTTAGAGTCCTTCTTTGCATATCAGAATAGAAAAAATAGTTGGAAATTATGTCAAAGAAATATCTACTTGGTCTGATCAAACTCTCACCTTTCCTAAAACTGCCAATCGACAAGTATCGAGAACTTTATAAATGGCTGAGAACTCGCCGACACTCATCAAAAACACCCTGGCCATCGATTCCAAAGGTTCAGCCAAATTTTCCGGCAAAGGTAAACGATCAGTCGAGTAATTTGCCGTGTTCATTTCTCTGTGGCAACCGAGGAAAATGATGAAGAAAGCTGAAAGTTCATGCATAGTTGTAATACCTCGAAAAATACGACTTCATAACGTTCGCACCTTGTGAGAAGCCAAACAGAAATATCATATAAATGAGTAGAAAACGAAAAACGTCGCCGGCTATCATCTTGTAAAACATGTGGATAAATGGTCCGAGATGCTTCACTGACCTAAAACAGACGCGGAGTTACTGCTCTGCTCTTAGAAACTCAAAATACGACGGAAAACTTTCATTCCTGGGTAAATAAATAAAGAATGCAATGAGTCAAGAATAGAATGTTCCCGTGTTGAAAAATCACTAGCACTCTTCTTCTCTGATAACTCAATTATTTGGCTTAAGAGGCAGCGTGCGCCAACTTAAAAACATTGCCAGAGGCCTAGTCGGAGAAACGAAAGGCACAACACATATACATGAAGAAACGTGGTGGTTGAATGCGGACGCTCAGGCGATCTTGCGAGAGAAGAAAGAGCTGCTCAAGAAATAGGAGCCGTCAAACAGCGCGAATGACAGAGTAAAATGTGCCATTGCAATGAGAAGGGCAGAAAAAGCGGTCGTCGAAGCATAGTCTACAGCGTAAAAACCGGCGAAAGGGGAATGAGAGAAAGACATCTGTCGCATAACGAAGGCCAGAGAAAGAGGAAGAGACATCGATAAGGTGAAGTGCATAAAAGACAAAAGCGGAATCGTGCTGACCGATGAGAAACATATTCGCAACCGATGAAGGGTTGACTCGATTAAATGACCCCTGATGAAGAAAACATGCTAGAAACAAAATGAAGTATTGTGTTTGGTAGGTATGATAGCATTGGTTGTTGTAGAAAACCTGGATTTGCATAAGGTTTATTGCACTGAGTAGTAGTTTTTCCATCGATATAAATAAGCAATGTACAAGGCTAAAAATTGCTAATTGCGTAGCAGCACATTTGCCATGGGGAACCATCACCCATTGGAAGCAGCTGCAATGACACTCGGTTATTCACGTAGTCTAGGCGGAAAACTAAAGCGTAACATGCTGTTATCTCTCATTTTCTATGTTCAGTCGTAGAGTTACTACACTATATGAGCAGAATTTTGCAATTTACCGTCATCTGGCTGACAATTACTGAGCAACGATGAATTATTTTCTTGTTTTAATGGTAGTTGCTAACGAGGCAGCGGCGAAAATGCAATCGCAGCACCTTTGTTCAAAATCCGGTCGCATCACGTAAGGATAATAACATGGCAGCTGCATAGAGTTTTGGTTTCTCCACGGCAGAGAAACCATTAATGAGTCCACAGCAAACTGTGAGTGTCAGTGTGAAA